CTTTGAACTTGAATTGTCCAATTTCGTACACCTATTGATTTCGGATCGAGCCCAAAACTTGGGCAAAATCATAATACGGTGGGAGGAGTGATTTGGTTAAGTCTGAGTGAAATCTGATCTCTAGAACTACCGAAAACACCAACCACTCCAATTAGGAACGACCTGCCTTTGAACTTGAAGTGTCCAATTTCTTACAGCTATTGATTTCGGATCGAGCCCAAAACTGGGGCAACATCATAATATGGTGGGAGGAGACATTTGGTTAAGTTTGAGTAAAATCCGATCTCTAGAACTACCGAAAACACCAACCACTCCAATTAGGAACGGCTGCCTTTGAACTTGAAGTGTCCAATTTCTTACAGCTATTGATTTCGGATCGAGCCCAAAACTGGGGCAACATCATAATATGGTGGGAGGAGACATTTGGTTAAGTTTGAGTAAAATCCGATCTCTAGAACTACCGAAAACACCAACCACTCCAATTAGGAACGGCTGCCTTTGAACTTGAAGTGTCCAATTTCTTACAGCTATTGATTTCGGATCGAGCCCAAAACTGGGGCAACATCATAATATGGTGGGAGGAGACATTTGGTTAAGTTTGAGTAAAATCCGATCTCTAGAACTACCGAAAACACCAACCACTCCAATTAGGAACGGCTGCCTTTGAACTTGAAGTGTCCAATTTCTTACAGCTATTGATTTCGGATCGAGCCCAAAACTGGGGCAACATCATAATATGGTGGGAGGAGACATTTGGTTAAGTTTGAGTAAAATCCGATCTCTAGAACTACCGAAAACACCAACCACTCCAATTAGGAACGGCTGCCTTTGAACTTGAAGTGTCCAATTTCTTACAGCTATTGATTTCGGATCGAGCCCAAAACTGGGGCAACATCATAATATGGTGGGAGGAGACATTTGGTTAAGTTTGAGTAAAATCCGATCTCTAGAACTACCGAAAACACCAACCACTCCAATTAGGAACGGCTGCCTTTGAACTTGAAGTGTCCAATTTCTTACAGCTATTGATTTCGGATCGAGCCCAAAACTGGGGCAACATCATAATATGGTGGGAGGAGACATTTGGTTAAGTTTGAGTAAAATCCGATCTCTAGAACTACCGAAAACACCAACCACTCCAATTAGGAACGGCTGCCTTTGAACTTGAAGTGTCCAATTTCTTACAGCTATTGATTTCGGATCGAGCCCAAAACTGGGGCAACATCATAATATGGTGGGAGGAGACATTTGGTTAAGTTTGAGTAAAATCCGATCTCTAGAACTACCGAAAACACCAACCACTCCAATTAGGAACGGCTGCCTTTGAACTTGAAGTGTCCAATTTCTTACAGCTATTGATTTCGGATCGAGCCCAAAACTGGGGCAACATCATAATATGGTGGGAGGAGTCGTTTGGTTAAGTTTGAGTAAAATTCGATCACTAGAACTACCCAAAACACCAACCACACCAATTAGGAACGACTGCCTTTGAACTTGAATTGTCCAATTTCTTACACCTATTGATTTCGGATCGAGCCCAAAACTTGGGCAACATCACAATATGGTGGGAGGAGTCATTTGGTTAAGCTTGAGTGAACTCCGATCTCTAGAACTAACCAAAACACCAACCACTCAAATTTGGAACGAACTGCCTTTCAACTTGAATTGTCCAATTTCTTACACCTATTGATTTCGGATCGGGCCCAAAACTGGGGCAACATCATAATATGGTGGGAGGAGTCATTTGCTTAAGTTTGAGCGAAATCCAATATCTAGAACTACCCAAAGCAGCAACCACTCCAATTAGGAACGTACTGCCTTTGAACATAAATTGTCCAATTTCTTACACCTATTAATTTCGGATCGAGCCCAAAACTTGGGCAACATCATAATATGGTGGGAGGAGTCCTTTGGTTAAGTTTGAGTGAAATCCGATCTCTAGAACTATGGAATACCCCAACCACTCTGATTAGGAACGAATTGCCTTTGAACAGAAATTGTCCAATTTCTTACACCTATTGATTTCGGATCGAGCCCAAAACTTGGGCAACATCATAATATGGTGGGAGGAGTCCTTTGGTTAAGTTTGAGTGAAATCCGATCTCTAGAACTATGGAATACACCAACCACTCTGATTAGGAACGAATTGCCTTTGAACATAAATTGTCCAATTTCTTACACCTATTGATATCGGATCGAGCCCAAAACTTGGGAAACATAATAATATGGTGGGAGGAGTCATTTGGTTAAGTTTGAGTGAAATCCGATCTCTTGAACTACCCAAAACACCAACCACTCCAATTAGGAACGAACTGCCTTTGAACTTGAATTGTCCAATTTCCTACACCTATTGATTTCGGATCGAGCCCAATACTGGGGCAACATCATAATATGGCGGGAGGAGTCGTTTGCTTAAGTTTGAGCGAAATCCCATCTCTAGAACTACCCAAAACACCAACCACTCCAATTAGGAACGAACTGCCATTGAACATAAATTGTCCAATTTCTTACACCTATTGATTTCGGATCGAGCCCAAAACTTGGGCAACATCACAATATGGTGGGAGGAGTCATTTGGTTAAGCTTGAGTGAACTCCGATCTCTAGAACTAACCAAAACACCAACCACTCCAATTAGGAACGAACTGCCTTTGAACTTGAATTGTCCAATTTCTTACACCTATTGATTTCGGATCGAGCCCAAAACTTGGGCAATATCACAATATGGTGGGAGGAGTCGTTTTGTTAAGTTTGAGTGAAATCCGATCTTTAGAACTACCCAAAACACCAACCACTCCAATTTGGAACGAACTGCCTTTGAACTTGAATTGTCCAATTTCTTACAGCTATTGATTTCGGATCGAGCCCAAAACTTGGGCAACCATATAATATGGTGGGAGCACTATGCCAAATTTTACTTTCCGCAACACTAGATAGGCATCGGTGAAACCAAATACCGATGCTGTTAGTATATTAGGCATTGGTTTTATAAAGAATGGGACTAAAAGTACGTAAAGGCATCAGCACAAATTTTGGTTTTTCTTACCGATGCCATTGATTATATTTAGCATCGATAATTTAAATATACGGATGCGTAAAATTGTTGGGTGAAAAATAAATTTAAGCGCCAATTGAGCTCCGATGCCAAAAGCCTATAGTTGACCGCTACAGTGTTTTTTCCCCTAAAAAAATTTCAGTCCCTTTGTGAAAATTTCAGATTCCCCCTTCTCACGAAAAATTTCCCTCTTCTCTCTCTCTCAGTACCCACAGACGACAGTGACTGAGAGCTCCCATCTTCTCACCTTCAAACTCCCTATCTTCTCTCTCGCGATACCCCCATTCACCCTAAACCCTCTCTCACTATACCCAATCACCGACACTCTCTCATCACTCTCTCATCCAGTCACAGATAGTCACTCTGCCTGCCTCCTCTTCGTTTTGAGATCTGTGCTCTTCGGTCGTCTCCTTCCTTCCTCTCGACGCTTCTTCTTCAGCTAGGGTTCGTAACTCCGATCCTTTACCGGTACGTGCTTGCTTTTGTGTTTTAATTGCTCTATCTGTTTTAGGGCTCTGAGATTGCTCATGTTCTCTGTGTTGTGAATTACTTTCTATTTTCGAAATTTTAGTGAAGTTAAAGTCATAGTTTGGCAGATCTATACACGGCATTTTTTGATTTGGGTAATTTGTTATACATATAATTTTAAAGTTTAGGGTTTGATTATTCTTCATCTAAGTTCTATTATTTTTCATAGATGTTGCATGTTGCAATTTGAAGCTTATTTTTCAGTTTATTAAGGGTTGGGGTTTTTTGACATATTGTTTACTGAAAATGGGTGCCTTCTTTCAGAGACTGGGTAAGGGCACCGCAATAACCTTCAACAACTCATTTGGAGGTCAGTTGAAGTCCAAATTTTGCATTCCCTTTGGAGCTCACGCAGCTGCCTTTGGTGGAGTCTCTTATCTCTGCCTGTACTGAATCTTGATAACTACAGATAAGACAAAACATCTTCCTTTTCAATTTATGCTTTTGTTTGGGCATATTTGGGTTTCTTTCTTTCTTTTTTTTTTCTTTTTTTTTGTGAAGTACTCTAAATGCTAGCTATAGGATAAACTGGATATGCATCATTAAAACACTCATTTAGTTAGGGTTAAATTTATATATTGTTTGGGCATATTTGTTTTTTATTTGCAATATTAAAGCAACTTGAGATGCTCTCATATAATAGGCAGCTTCCCTCATTATTTGAAATGTGAACTCAAGGTGTTTATAATATTTTTTGTGTTTATGAAATGGATTGGTTAAAGGGATATGGATAAATCTTGGATGCATGAAGATAGAAGAAGCAAAGAGAATGAAGATGGGGTTGAAGAATTTCTAAGGATAGCATTAGCAAATGCTATTGATCATAGGCGCATTCATTGTCCATGCCAGAGATGTGGGAATAGAAGAAAGTTTACTATTAGAGTAATAAGGGGGACAACGAGAGGGAGTGTGTCTCGAAGGTAATGTTGGAACAACGAGATTCTTTGATAATGGAGACAAGAAAGATGATGGAAGAACAACAAAAAAGGCATGAAGCTGCACAACAAGCTCTTCAAAACCAAATTGAGATGCTAAAGGTGGTGATTAACACTCAAGTTCCTAATAACACATCTCTCCAATCCCCAAATATGCATCAATCTCCCATCTTATCCGAGAAAGCATCAACAAACATAGAGAGAAAACTTGAGGAGGGTGAAAAAGAAATTTGTGGTGAAGAAGGTTGTGAGGATGTGGTGGAGCAAACTGAAAGTGAGTTTATGAAGGTAATTCTGATTTTTCATTTACTTTGATATACTTGCTCTAAATATGTACACACAAAATTACTGATTAGAATACGATTTATATGAATTTCATGGCCATAATATCTGAACTTTTTTACAAATTCACTGGAAATAAAGGTTGTTAGTTTTGTGCAGATTGGTGTAATAATTCATCATTGCTCTCCTTTTTCATTTATTTGTTTGTTCGTGATCTTAATGTTATGAATTGCTTGTTGACGCTAATTGTTTGACTAATTATAAATTTTTTCCCTGTCTAATGTTAGAAAGCATGTGCATGCAGAGAATTACTTAGCACTTTAAAAGCTGAATTCCCATTTGCCCAAGATATTGTTATTAAGTAGGAAAAAGGTTTATATTCTTCATTCTCATTTACCCAATAAGGCAATGACATTAGATTCTACAATTAAATAGACCACCCACAATCTCTTTCTTTGACTCCATCTTGTACTTAATTGATATAAATGCTTGCTGAAATTGATATGTTTAGCTTGTATTATATTTGTGACTTGTCTTTTATATGCATATTAGGGGAAAGAATGCAAAATGGCTTTCGGCGAAAAGGCAAACCTTGTTGCAAGTGGCACAATAGTTGAGATTAATGTGCCAAACCAGCTGGTTCATAATGTTCCTTTGGGAGAGGGGAACATAAGAGTAGCTGTGCTTGTCCAACCCTCTACCCCATCACATGATCATTTAATTGCTAGTTTAAACATGAAGTAGGATCCAATTAATGACTTCTTGTTATCTAATTAGATTGATTGACAAATTAGATTTTCTTGTTCACCAATATGATTTCGTAAATTTGCATATTGGTTCATATGAAGTGACAACATATCTTATGCAAATTTAGTACCTTGCACTTTTTAAGCTTATGTTCATATTTTGTGTTTACATTCTATGTGTTTTTTTTTTCTAGTATAGAGCTAGAAGGAAGGACACGTACACCCAAATGGAATTGGATGAGGTGCGAGAAGAATTGGCAAGTCATGTCCTAGAATGGCTGTTTGATTAAGCTAAACATTCCTTCATTTTACATGTCTTTCTAGCTAGTATTTTGCTTATGCATAGACAAGTATGGATAATTTGTGGTGTAGGGCTGGTAAATTTGTGATTTGGATGTGACAAGTATGGATCATTCAAGTATTTTGCTTATATATATATAGACAATTATGGATATATTTAAATTACTGTTGATATAATGTTTTTTTTTATGAGCAATGGCAACACAACATGATTTGGAAATGAGGCCTTTCTTAAATACTATTACAGTAACTAAGTAAAGTGTGATGTGAAACAAGCAAAATACCTACCCTTTCCTTACAGAAACGATGCCTATTGTTTATAACAACTTCAGTTTTCCAAAAATAACTGAAGTTGAAAGATAAAAACAACAACCAGACATCTATTATCACTGATGCTTAAAACGAGAAGTAGCATCAGAATTTATGTAACCACCAGCACTATTGGAGGCTTTTCACGTCCGCAAAATTAAAAAAAGCGATGATGTTTAACATAATTCACAACACCATTATTTATTTCTACGATGTTGTAATTGATAATATGCATCAGCATAGTAGATATCACTGATGCTGTTAGACCTCTTTAGCATCATCCCTTTTAAAACTACTGATGATGTTAGACCTCTTTAGCCTCCTCCCTTTTGAAAGTACTGATGCTGTTTCGAGTTTAGGCATCAGAAGTCAACCTTTTTTTGGCACCCGGAAATCATTTAGGCATCGGAGTTTCCTTCATATCCGATGTAGTAAGTGATAAACAGCCACGGAGAATATCCGTTGCCTATAACATAGGGATAGGCAACAGTCACCAATACCACGGTATTTATGTGTAATAGGCAACGGATTTTATCCGTTGCTAAAGCCCTTTTTTGGCATAGTGGAGGAGTCATTTGGTTAGTTTTGAGTGAAATCCGATCTCTGCAACTATGGAATACACCAACCGCTCCGATTAGGAACGAACTGCCTTTGAACATAAATTGTCCAATTTCTTACACCTATTGATTTCGGATCAAGCTCAAAACTTGGGCCACATCATAATATGCTGGGAGGAGTCATTTGGTGAAGTTGGAGTGAAATTCGATCTCTAGAACTAACCAAAACACCAACCACTCCAATTAGGAACGAACTGTCTTTGAACATGAATTATCCAATTTCTTACACCTATTGATTTCGGATCGAGCCCAAAACTTGGGCGACATCATAATATAGTGGGAGGAGTCATTTGGTTAAGTTTGAGTGAAATCCGATCCCTAGAACTGCCCAATACACCAACCACTCCAATTAGGAATGAACTGCCTTTGAACATGAATTGTCCAATTTCTTACACCTATTGATTTCGGATCAAGCCCAAAACTTGGGCAACATCATAATATGGTGGGAGGAGTCATTAGGTTAATTTTGAGTGAAATCCGATCTCTAGAACTACCCAAAAACACCAACCACTCCAAGCAGGAACGAACTGCCTTTGAACTTAAAGTGTCGAATTTCTTACACCTATTGATTTCGGATCGAGCCCAAAACTTCGGCAACCTCATAATATGGTGGGAGGAGTCATTTGGATAGTTTTGAGTGGAATCCGATCTCTAGAACTATGGAATCCACCAACCACTCCGATTAGGAACGAACTGCCTTTGAAGATAAATTGTCCAATTTCTTACACCTATTGATTTCGGATCGAGCCCAAAACTTGGGCAACATCATAATATGGTGGGAGAAGTCATTTGGTTAGTTTTGAGTGAAATTCGATCTCTAGAACTATGTACCAAACACTCCGATTAGGAACGAACTGCCTACGAACATAAATTGTCCAATTTCTTACACCTATTGATTTCGGATCGAGCCCAAAACTTCGGCAACCTCATAATATGGTGGGAGGAGGCATTAGGTTAATTTTGAGTGAAATCCGATCTCTAGAACTATGTACCACCCACTCCGATTAGGAACGAACTGCCTACGAACATAAATTGTCCAATTTCTTACACCTATTGATATCGGATCGAGCCCAAAACTTCGGCAACCTCATAATATGGTGGGAGGAGGCATTAGGTTAATTTTGAGTGAAATCCGATCTCTAGAACTATGTACCACCCACTCCGATTAGGAACGAACTGCCTACGAACATAAATTGTCCAATTTCTTACACCTATTGATATCGGATCGAGCCCAAAACTTCGGCAACCTCATAATATGGTGGGAGGAGGCATTAGGTTAATTTTGAGTGAAATCCGATCTCTAGAACTATGTACCACCCACTCCGATTAGGAACGAACTGCCTACGAACATAAATTGTCCAATTTCTTACACCTATTGATATCGGATCGAGCCCAAAACTTCGGCAACCTCATAATATGGTGGGAGGAGGCATTAGGTTAATTTTGAGTGAAATCCGATCTCTAGAACTATGTACCACCCACTCCGATTAGGAACGAACTGCCTACGAACATAAATTGTCCAATTTCTTACACCTATTGATATCGGATCGAGCCCAAAACTTCGGCAACCTCATAATATGGTGGGAGGAGGCATTAGGTTAATTTTGAGTGAAATCCGATCTCTAGAACTATGTACCACCCACTCCGATTAGGAACGAACTGCCTACGAACATAAATTGTCCAATTTCTTACACCTATTGATATCGGATCGAGCCCAAAACTTCGGCAACCTCATAATATGGTGGGAGGAGGCATTAGGTTAATTTTGAGTGAAATCCGATCTCTAGAACTATGTACCACCCACTCCGATTAGGAACGAACTGCCTACGAACATAAATTGTCCAATTTCTTACACCTATTGATATCGGATCGAGCCCAAAACTTCGGCAACCTCATAATATGGTGGGAGGAGGCATTAGGTTAATTTTGAGTGAAATCCGATCTCTAGAACTATGTACCACCCACTCCGATTAGGAACGAACTGCCTACGAACATAAATTGTCCAATTTCTTACACCTATTGATATCGGATCGAGCCCAAAACTTCGGCAACCTCATAATATGGTGGGAGGAGGCATTAGGTTAATTTTGAGTGAAATCCGATCTCTAGAACTATGTACCACCCACTCCGATTAGGAACGAACTGCCTACGAACATAAATTGTCCAATTTCTTACACCTATTGATATCGGATCGAGCCCAAAACTTCGGCAACCTCATAATATGGTGGGAGGAGGCATTAGGTTAATTTTGAGTGAAATCCGATCTCTAGAACTATGTACCACCCACTCCGATTAGGAACGAACTGCCTACGAACATAAATTGTCCAATTTCTTACACCTATTGATATCGGATCGAGCCCAAAACTTCGGCAACCTCATAATATGGTGGGAGGAGGCATTAGGTTAATTTTGAGTGAAATCCGATCTCTAGAACTATGTACCACCCACTCCGATTAGGAACGAACTGCCTACGAACATAAATTGTCCAATTTCTTACACCTATTGATATCGGATCGAGCCCAAAACTTCGGCAACCTCATAATATGGTGGGAGGAGGCATTAGGTTAATTTTGAGTGAAATCCGATCTCTAGAACTATGTACCACCCACTCCGATTAGGAACGAACTGCCTACGAACATAAATTGTCCAATTTCTTACACCTATTGATATCGGATCGAGCCCAAAACTTCGGCAACCTCATAATATGGTGGGAGGAGGCATTAGGTTAATTTTGAGTGAAATCCGATCTCTAGAACTATGTACCACCCACTCCGATTAGGAACGAACTGCCTACGAACATAAATTGTCCAATTTCTTACACCTATTGATATCGGATCGAGCCCAAAACTTCGGCAACCTCATAATATGGTGGGAGGAGGCATTAGGTTAATTTTGAGTGAAATCCGATCTCTAGAACTATGTACCACCCACTCCGATTAGGAACGAACTGCCTACGAACATAAATTGTCCAATTTCTTACACCTATTGATATCGGATCGAGCCCAAAACTTCGGCAACCTCATAATATGGTGGGAGGAGGCATTAGGTTAATTTTGAGTGAAATCCGATCTCTAGAACTATGTACCACCCACTCCGATTAGGAACGAACTGCCTACGAACATAAATTGTCCAATTTCTTACACCTATTGATATCGGATCGAGCCCAAAACTTCGGCAACCTCATAATATGGTGGGAGGAGGCATTAGGTTAATTTTGAGTGAAATCCGATCTCTAGAACTATGTACCACCCACTCCGATTAGGAACGAACTGCCTACGAACATAAATTGTCCAATTTCTTACACCTATTGATATCGGATCGAGCCCAAAACTTCGGCAACCTCATAATATGGTGGGAGGAGGCATTAGGTTAATTTTGAGTGAAATCCGATCTCTAGAACTATGTACCACCCACTCCGATTAGGAACGAACTGCCTACGAACATAAATTGTCCAATTTCTTACACCTATTGATATCGGATCGAGCCCAAAACTTCGGCAACCTCATAATATGGTGGGAGGAGGCATTAGGTTAATTTTGAGTGAAATCCGATCTCTAGAACTATGTACCACCCACTCCGATTAGGAACGAACTGCCTACGAACATAAATTGTCCAATTTCTTACACCTATTGATATCGGATCGAGCCCAAAACTTCGGCAACCTCATAATATGGTGGGAGGAGGCATTAGGTTAATTTTGAGTGAAATCCGATCTCTAGAACTATGTACCACCCACTCCGATTAGGAACGAACTGCCTACGAACATAAATTGTCCAATTTCTTACACCTATTGATATCGGATCGAGCCCAAAACTTCGGCAACCTCATAATATGGTGGGAGGAGGCATTAGGTTAATTTTGAGTGAAATCCGATCTCTAGAACTATGTACCACCCACTCCGATTAGGAACGAACTGCCTACGAACATAAATTGTCCAATTTCTTACACCTATTGATATCGGATCGAGCCCAAAACTTCGGCAACCTCATAATATGGTGGGAGGAGGCATTAGGTTAATTTTGAGTGAAATCCGATCTCTAGAACTATGTACCACCCACTCCGATTAGGAACGAACTGCCTACGAACATAAATTGTCCAATTTCTTACACCTATTGATATCGGATCGAGCCCAAAACTTCGGCAACCTCATAATATGGTGGGAGGAGGCATTAGGTTAATTTTGAGTGAAATCCGATCTCTAGAACTATGTACCACCCACTCCGATTAG